AGTTGTTTTGTTTTGGTTTTTTTTTTTTTTTCTCCCCTGTCCTAGTGTATATTGACTTTGCTTTTTGACAGCTGATGTGGAATGAGAGCGGGGTGCTTTGGTGGTGACAGCAGGGACCAGAGCAGCCCCATGTGGCTGTAAGCCATCCTTGCAGACTACAGCTCAGGAGAACAGCGTTGCTCCTAAAGACCGTGGTCAAGGGAGAGGTTGTCTGCTTCAAGTTAAACTGCTGGACTGACCTCAAGGGCTCGAGTTCATGTCAATTTGTATTATGAGATTTCACATGCCTAACCTATTTTGGAAAGAAAGCCTCTTTAAAAAAAAAACCAAAACAAAACAACTTTTATCAAATAAAGTTCTTATTGCTCAGAAACTTTGAACCAATGATTAGCAGCTATTTTTATTCATGAGTTACATTTTTTTAAAAACAAATTTATTTCAATGAATTGTGTCTTAAAACGTGTAAGTGTTGCAGAGTTTCACTTCTAAAGTTTTCTTGTTTTCAGAAACAAGACACTGGACAGATTTTGTTGGATATGACCTATAACCAGTTGGGTGTGACGGAGAAGGAATATTTTGGTTTACAGCAAAATGAAACTTCAGTAGATTCACCTGTAAGTATAGCAAATAATAAATGTGTGTGCATGTATATGTGTGTATACATATATAAACACATATATGCATACACATGTATGTATACACACATGTACATGCACACACACATAAATAAACAGTATTTATTTGTAAATATTTTTAATCCATCTAATAGTTTTTCATTTCACAGCGATGGCTTGAACCAAACAAACCTATTAGAAAACAGTTGAAAGGTAAGACTTGTTTTTAATATCTTGTTTGTAACTGCATAGTCCTGCTTTTCTGTGTTCTTATGACTAGAATAAATACAGTTCTTGTAAACTAGTGCATCCAGATGGTAGATTTTGTTTAGGAGCAAGTCTTGTCTCTGCCAGTGTTTTCAGCAGAGCTTTCTACATCTCTTACTGCTACCTGAGTGCTAATAAGACTGGGTAGGGCACTAACTTTGATGCTGTAATAGCATCTAAGCCTGGCTTCTGAACAGTGTTGGACATCCTGGCCATGAAAGCAGTAGTCATATTGTGGTGCCAGTAAATTCCTCCTCACAGGGAAGATAAAGAGGAGGGGTTTTGATTGAGGGAAGTGGAGCCAGTTTCACGTATAGGCTCTGGCGATTTCTTGTCTGAAGTAGAGTTAAAAAAAAATTGCTTGTTTTTATTAAAAAACAACCAAACAAAAACCTAACACCACACACTTCCAAGTGCATGTGATGGTCTAGTATGTCTTGTTTATAAACAACTTTGGGTAACACAGAATGCTTACCAAGGACAGGCTGGCCAGTGTGACCCTGCCAGATAGCGGCTTAGGAGGACTGAGTGACACTGTCCCAATTTGTGCTGTGAAACTTGAGCTATATTTTTCAGCTCTCTTATTTCTACCATATGCTGTAGATTGCATATGAATTGAAATAAAAGTATGTGCAGTTAACATGGTGAACTTCTGTTAATTTCTTCTATTTATATGTAAGATGGAATTGAGCATTATCCCAACTGAGATGCTTCAAATACACTTGCTGCTGCTTTTTCTTCTAATATCTATGAGGCAAAGATACCTAAATAATGCCTTTTATGTAAAGTAGCATATACAAATTACTTTAAATGCAAGCATCACTGTATCTGAGAGTATTTTCTTCTCATAGTTGGTGTTGGGGGGGATCAGGAGAGACTTCTCATGGTTTCTTTTAGTTTCATGAGAAAAATGGATGAGATTTCTATATGGTTGCTCATGTAACTTTTCTATAAATATAGAAATAAAACCTCAGGCTCTTTCTTTTTTAAACAAAAAAATTGATTTGTTGTTCTAAAATATTGCAGGAGGTTTTCCCTGCACCCTTCGTTTCCGTGTAAGGTTTTTTATACCTGATCCTAACACACTTCAGCAAGAACAAACCAGGTAACTTCTGTTTGATGTTTGCTTCCATGAACTAAGAATGTGTAAAGCTCCCCTTTTCCATCTCCACAGCTTGGCAAAGTATGCTTTATTAGGTAGATAACCTTGCTTAACTCTTTCTATTAAATGTGTTTGGAATTGACAGCTTGATGTGATGCTCATAATGAATGGTTTCTTCTATATGCAGCCTACAACTCCAAAATGCAGCCAGAATATAAGCTACTACAAAGATGGCAGTTAGTTTATTTGCCCCCTGGATTCCTTTTTTTTTTTTTTTTTGAGCCCTTCGTTGCTTGATGTGCTTGCCTGTTGCATTTTTTCTCCTTTCCTTTTCTGATCCCTTAATCAGATGCAATGATTAAAAAGTAGGGTAGTTCAATTATTAAGCTGTCTGCACGCCCTCAGTCTGTTAGAAGTTTTGTATCAACACTGAGTCAGTTTTTTGAACATGTGTAGTAGATTTAATGCCGAGGGCGTGGGAGGGTGGGGTTTATTTTGTTTCAGGAAGAACAGATAACAGTTCTTGTTTTCTAGTTTGCCCCTTACTTGTAACATGCAAAGATCTATAATGCTGCAGTTTATAGTAGACTTTTAAAGCCTTCTTTCTTTAACCTATCTCTGAGTTTTTAGGGTCGTGGGGTACATGAATTACAAGCAGTTTTCAATGAACTTGTGAGAAGGCTTTAACTGAATACTTGTTTTGTTCAGTGCACATGATTTGGAATTTAGAATTCACAGGCACGTATTAATTGGGCATTTTTTTGGTAATGTTTTTATAACATTTTCATTGTTAATTTCAGTGACTTGAGAATATAAATAGTACAGCATGTTAAATGATATTTCTTGAAGAAAACTTAGCTATTGACCTGTTTTGGTATTTGCTAATAAAGCTGTTGTAAGCTGTTCTGTTGTTTGAAACTGAAATTATTCAAAGACCTTCTCTTCATGGTTCTTCACATCCCAACTCTCCAGTATTGCTATAAAGTAACGTTGTAAAACACACTAGTAAGAGCAAGACTAAACTGCTCTTGGAGAATTAAGAGCTTTTTGTCAGCATATGCTACTTGAGAGATCTCATTCTCTCCATTAGGTAGTTCAAGATAGAGTATCACAGTTTGGGGTTGGGGGTTTTTTTTGTTTGATTTTTTTTTTTTTTTTTAAAGTTACATCCAAGATGAATGTTCCTGGGAGAAAGAGAGCCCAGTTCTGTAACGGTTTGGGTTTTGTAGTGTTCGTTGTGGCATTAATACCATGGTCCTGGAGTGGTAGTACAGACTCACAAAGATCTTTAAAACTGTTGTGAGAGTGAGTGGGTGTATGATTGCATGTTTGTAAGTGGCACTAAGCTTTATTCATCTGCTTGTATAGTTTGCTGGGAAATCTAATAAAATAGAACTAATACATGTAACAATTTAAACCGTACCTTTGAAATGTGAAAATAAATAAATGTTTGTTTGTTTTCCAAAAAATCTTTTCTAGGCACTTATTCTTCCTGCAATTGAAGACTGATATTGTGGAAGGAAGGTAATAAGAAAACTCTTCAATTTATCTATAATTCTTTTTAAAATAAAATTAAAAAAAAAAAAGCCTTTTTCTGAGGGTATCATTGCTTTAAAATTGTACCTTGTGAAATACCGCTTTAAAAGAAAATCAAATTGCTAGGAAACATCACAAATTTTCACATAGGTCACTTATGAAGAACAGTTTAGTAGTCTGTTCTGAATGAGCTGTAGGAGGTGTTGTGCATCTGCAGGTACAATGTCAACCTGAGACATCTTTATGCAAGACATGGTGTGCCAGGCATGGTATTCCAAATGTGGGGACCTGCTGTCTAGTGCAGTAATCAGGAGGGAGTAGCAAAGGGCCGTTTATGCTATTATTTCTCATTATTTCAGGGTTATATTCCCTACGTGGTGGGCATATATCCAGTTGTTCCTTTGCCTGCAATTTCTGTGTGTTTGTACATTTAAAAAAAAAAAAAGAGGAAAAGGTGGTCCGAGTACTTGCTGCCTAATGTACATTGCCTTTAGGTGTTGGCTTTTTTTCCTCTATGGAGTCACTGGTCATGAGATCAGAGCTGTCTTTGTGCTTGGCACTTGGCTAATTTTAGTGTTTGTGTCTAGTTTTAAATACACCAGACTGCAGCTATTAAAATAGTGTCCAGAGCCCCATAAAAATTGCTTCTCCTTTTGCTTTCCTGAATAAGCATCCAGTAACAATATGAGCATGGCCTTTTAGGACTTGTTACTTCCATTCTCTTAAGAAGCTGTTACACGGCAACTAGCTTTTAATCTCCAGTCCTAGTGTGCTTTGACAATCAAACTTTGTAAGAAAAAATCAGATACTCTTTGAAGATAAATGAGTCTTCGTGTACTGAACTAATTGCAGAGGTATTGTTAACAATACATTTATACAGCCTATATCTAAATAAAAATATTTTCCCCTCTTTCCAGGTTGTCATGCCCCATTAATTCTGCTGTTGTCCTGGCATCATATGCAGTACAATGTAAGTAATAACTAATCATTATTTTGTTAATAAATGTATTTGACCAACTACCTTCTCTGCTGTTTGGCACTGAAAAATAAGGAAAGATTTCTTTCCTTATCTATTTGTGTGGAATATTTAAAATGCTACAGGTGATGCTTTGTAAAGAAGGTGCAGGTTATTAAAGCAGCCTTCAGACAGTCTAAATAGAAAAAGCATACTTGTTAGGTCTGTCAAAAAAAAAAAGTTGATACAAGAATAATGTTGTTATTACTTATGTGTGCTTGTACTGCTGACAAAAAGAAGGCAGGTTTTCATTGTCATTGGAAACAAAATAATGAAACTTACTGTGTGTTACAATAGCTACAGGAAAGCATTCCAGGGAAATAACAGATCATCTAGAGAACGGTTAAGGGGAAGGTAAACTCATGATTAAGAAACTCCAATGTTCTTATGTAATGTTTTCTCAGGGAATTTGATTTGTTAGATACGTAAAACTGCCTGGCACTTTGCAATACGTTTAAGGTGACTCTACGGACAAGAACTTGTATTCTTCTCATCTGCCTGCAACTGGAAAAAAGGAATTCTAAGGATGATATTAGAACAATATCTTCTGTAGGAAAACTAAAATGGACCTGATCCTATGCCTTATAGGCATCCTAAACAGTGAAAGGAAGAAACAGAGGAAGATCCTTCTCATTAAACAAACAAACAAACAGGTTGAGGGTTTAGTAGAGTTTGTATATTTCTAAAAATGGTTGTTGGGGAAAGCATGCTAGAATAGTTGTGTAATTATTTGGCTGATCTATATCTATCCCATTTCTTTATGGAAAGGCTAGCAAGGTCCACAGAAAAGATTGAGGTATTTTTCGCTTGAAATAAGGACCAAGCTAAATAATTAAAATATGGTTTTCAAAAGAGAAAGTAATAAACTGTTGGCCTCTATGAAAATCCCAAGAGGCTGTGAAACATTCACTTTTATGTTTAAGTATATCATGTGGTGCACCCTTTTGTTAAATGGAACTTTAACCACATTCAAGCTTAGTAACAACAGTTGAAACCAGAACAAGTTTTCCATAGTAGGCAGCAGTCCCAGTTTTATTGCCAAAGGAAATGTGTCCCTGCTCCCGTATCCCAGGGGCACAGTAGGGCACTCGGAGGCTGAAACACTCTGAACCTTTAGGATTGCTAAATGCAGTGTTGTTGACCTGATTGTGCTAAAGCGCAAAAATATAAAGGTACAGTGAAGAATGCAACTATTTTATCACAAAGTCAAGCTTAACATGATTTTTAAAATTAATTATGCCACAGGTAGTGTACCCCAAATCCCAAAGTAATTTCTTTTTCCCCTTCAGTTTTATGACCATTCCCTTTTTAGTGCTTTGAATACCTACTAATGCAGTTATTTTTACTAAAGGAGAACAGCAGAAGGTCAGTGAGTATTGTGGAAGGGTGCTAGTGTGTTTTAATCTTTCTCTTTCCTGGTGCATTCTGGAATTTCCCATGCAGCTATTTGCCTCATTTTCCTAACTCATGATAATGCTATTATTGCCAGTTGGGGGGGGGCTTTTATTAAAAACAAACAACCCCCCCCAAAAAAACCCCCAGACCTAAACCTTTCTTTTTTGCTAGCTGATGCCCTTTCTGTTGCTGTTTGTATGATATGTATATTTATTCTCTGCATCAGCAAAGAATGAAACATTTAACAGGAAGATGTATTCCCTTGAAGAAAAAAAAAAAAGTTTTTTCTTCTGCTACCAGGTTGTTGGCATTTACCTAAAGAAGATGGCATAGGAAAGACCTTCTGAAATCTGTGTGTGTAGGTCTGCTTATTTAGTCATGTTTGCTAGGATTCTTGTCACCTTAAATTGTTTTAAATAGGGGTTTTTTTTGGTGTTTTAGTTTCTAATCATACTTATTAAGAAGGGTTGAAGTTTTTGGATATGAGGTATCTTCTTATTAAAAAGCCATTGTCTGAAGTTGCCATGGATTGGTTCTACCTGAGCTGTTTCTTATTCCTGCCGCTTCTTGGTGGTTCTCAGGCTGCTCTCTCCTTCTGTAACTTCTGTTAACTGTATGCAGAAGGGGAAATCATCATTATCTGACAATCTAATGCTTATTTGTTTGAAAGGTGGAGCTGTTGTCACTGGCAGGAGGCTGAGGCAGGTGTCTTTCTTTGCACATGAAGGCTGATGATTATTTCTGCTCTTGCTTTTTAAATACAGTTTTCACATGTGGCAGTTGTATGGTTGACTTTCACAGGCTTTGTCTGAGTTTTGCAAAGGGACAGTTGGTGGTGAAGTCTGTCATCCCACTGAAGTGCTGCTGCTCTGTATTGCTCTTTGCACAGGTGTTTGAGTTCAACACTGCGGTTCTGAAATAAAACTCTGACATGTTGCTCTGTGCCATTGTGGCCCACCCTATGTTGTCAGGGGGTGCTAAGTTACAGGGGAATACAAGTGGGTGTGAATACTGTGACTAAATAGCATGTGACTAAACTTGATTGCAAGTATGGTTCAGACACTTGAAGAGTAAGTTGTTAGTTTATTATCAGTAAATGTGCTTTGTCACAGAAATGATCAGTGGATTCTGAAGTCCTTTTTTTAAGGAGAACTTGTTAAGGTGCATTTCAAATAATTTTGAAATCGTGAAGTCTGAAGGATAATCGTGCTGAAAAAAAATCTAATGATAAATAGTAGGTCTTGGTTTTTACTAGTGTAAAATGGGAATGTTGTACAGTCTTTAACATTAAATGAGGGACCTATGCAGAGTTTGTATCGCTTTTTTATTTAAAATGTCACAAAGCTGATTTAGCACCACTTGTTTTCTATCATTTTGTGTAGTAAGTTCTCATTTCCAGAACAGTGTTTAAAAGACTAGCTATTGGAATGTAAGAAGTCCCATGGGTTTCGTGGGAATATGCTCTTATGTGCGTAAATCCTTTGTGGGGTAGGGACTTGAATCTAAAGCACATCAACAAAGCCAACAAAAGGTGTTATGAATACTTCTAAGCTTTCTTTTTCCTGAGCATCATTTGCTCAGTGATTCATTATGACTGGGGTCTTTCTCTTATCCCCTGTGATATTGTTCCCATCTCAGCTCTGCTTTGAGAACGAGGATGTTTCTCTAGCACGCTGCTGTCTATCTTTGGGAGTTTGTTCCAGAAGGAGTTGACTAGTTGCTTGGGATTCAAATGGGCTTTAGCGAGGGTGAGGGTTCAAGGAAAGCTGAGCTTAGTGTGCGAGTCCCTCAGGAACTTATGCTGTTCTGGAAACATAAGAGTTTGTTAGAATTTTGGGAACGCCAGAAGGCTGATATCCCAGAGGAGGAGATGACCTGTAAGACATAGAGGAACGTCAATAGTAGCTCCACAGTGAGAATCACACCACATAATTCCCCCATCAGCTTTCTTCTTGCCTGACTCTTCTAACTTGCCCTAATTTTGTCCCCCTCTCTTTTTATAGAAATTACACTGAAACCTCAGACTTCCTAATTTACAGACCTGCCTGTTTTCATAGCTAGCATTTGGGGATTTTTCTCTGTGTATGCTCCCCAGCTATGGTTTTTTGAAGTGAAATAGTGCTCAGAAGGACATCATGTAAGCTGAGAGATTTGCTCAGAGGCCAGTCAGGTTCCTGCTACTCTCCAGGGCAGTTGTAGCCCTTTTGCCTCAGAATCAAAATCAGACTGGATGAACAAAGAGAACTTTGACCTAAATTTCCAGTGTTTGAAATTATTTACCAGATGTGTTGGGTAGCCTGAGGATTGCGTGCATGTCCCATCTGTTCTTCTGAAGCCTGCAGTAATGCTGTTCAGTCGCAGGTAACTTTTATCATGTCTTACAGTACCTGTCATCAGCAGTACCAGAGTGTTATCTATGTGACGGTGGTGAAATTCCCAATACAAGAATCTGCTTGGAGAAATTGATTGAAATATGCACCCGTTTTCTTCCACATGGTTCACTGTGGTCTGGATTGCTTGAGCTTGCTAGCATCTCTTTGTACAACAGTTCTTCTAAGACTGTCTTGATAGTTGATATACAGCAGCTCTCCAGCTGTTTTGGACTGTTTTCCCTTAATTATATTTTACAGTTGTGCTAGGCAAGACAGAGGCCACTTCAGGAGATCATTACTTCGAGTCTTGTTTGTCTAGTGTTCTTCCACTATGCAACAAATAATTGTTTTGAATCTGTAACGCTTCAAAACAAAGTACAATACTGTAATCTCTGGAGTGGAGAACCCCAGATTGGGCTATTGGCCAGTGTTGTAGCTGAAGGAGCTGACTTTCTACAGTGCCTCGTGGACTTGGTATTATTCTTCTGTATTTTTAAGGTGGGTGAACCTATTAAATATTTTTGTGTAACATAACTAAAAAGGGGAAAAGAACAGTTACCCAAGGTCACGGTCCATGTAGTACAGTATTATGATAATGAGTAGTGGTGAATGCTGAGAGAAAACACACATGACAGAAGATCAGAGCAGTTTTAAAATGCGTTAGTTCTGAAAAACCTCCTAATGTTTTGGGAGTACTGATAACTATTCCCTTAAGTCTTTTATCCCCATGCTTTTTCAAAAAGAATACGCTTTGTACTTTGGATTATACTTTGCTTTTTCAATACTTTTTCTGATTGTGACTGTGCGGTTTCTGAAGTACATTTGAGATGCAGAAACAGTGACTCAGTATAACTTATACTTTCTAATTTGTTTCTTCCTTTTCCCTGTGATTTTTTTTGTTGTTTAACTGTGGCTGGATTTTGAGCAGCTGATTTTTAAATTTTTTAATTTTTTTTTAAATAAAAAGTATTACAATGACTGATTCCTTTTTCATTGGAAAGGCAGTGGTAATAGATAGCTTGGAGACCACCATTGTGTATGTATAGTTGGCATTTTTGTCTACAAATGTTCCTTTGCTTTTATTAATGCCTACTTTTTCATTCTGTCTTACCACAAAGTAACCAGCTGTCATAAGTGGTCATAAGCAGCTACTTAGTCATCTCTAGATTGAACTTTTTTTAACGGCTT